CTAAATATAGGTTCTTTATTCTTTGTGTTAAGCTACTTAAGGGAAAGAATATTATCTTTTCGTTTTCTTTAATCTCACCAGCAAAAGTTATTATTGCTAGTTCCATCTCAAAGCTATGCATAAATTAGGATCCATTTTTTAAAAAACTATTTAAAATAAGTTTATTAGAAATATTCTTCCTGAAGTAATATTTTTACTGACCTAGAAATTTTTTCTTAGCCATTGCCATACTCCGCATAATTTTTATTAATGATATATGTGATGCTGACGGCAGTGATCAGTAAAACGCTTGAGGAAATATGCACAATGTTGAAATTATACTAAAACAAATATAGCACTAACTTATAATCGTAACTTATTTTCAAATAGCATTCTGATATTTTTTATCCCATTGTCATTTCTTCAAACCTGGCTCTTTATAGTCCAAGCACCTGTGTAAATGTACACAGCTGCTTTAAGGCTTTGTGTATTTTCTTGTTTTTAGGCTTTTTGATTTTTCAAAAGATATTTTTACACTAAACTAAAACATAACTAGTACTAGCCTTGAGAAACTCACAACCCCACACCTTAAAATGCCTCAATGCTCTTCCTTTAAAATCTTGCATGTCCTTTAGAAGGAACAAAAATAAAAGCCTCCCATGCAAGAGAAAAGGATTGAGGACAAATTGTCAAGATTTCAGAAAAACGATAGCAGAAATGCAGGTGTCACTACTAAGAGCCAGCTTCCAAGTAGAATGGTACCTGGAAACAGCCAGTAGTCAAACATTTCAGAATCCTTCCTCAGACACCAGCGCCTTTGCAGTGTCATCATTATTGCCCAGTGCAAGCAGCAGAGGTGGTTTTCTCTGTGGTACCCAGCCAAATTGGAGACAAGTGGCCTCCTGACAGAAGGGCCATTTCTAGGACACAGTCCTTTCCACTGGCTATAGGCAGTGCAAAAGGCAATACTACGATGTCGTTTCTTTACCTTGATTGGAGGAACTCTGAGCTGAAGAGCCATAGGCACATCCCGTGTCAAGGGAGTGGCGGCAGCCACACTTCTTGTATAGGTGACATCTCAGAGAAGAAAGAATTGTCACGGGAGTTTTTCAAGGACTCCTGGAGACTAAGAATGAGACACAGGCAGGCAGGGTGATTGGATTTCAACCAAAGAGACAGCAACCATCTGTGAGCCCTGCATAAGCTTCTGAGTGTCAAAAATGAGCATGGATACTAGACGGCTGACTCCTCATCCCGTTTGCAGTTTGGTCTAATCTGGAAGATGTGTTGATAGTTTGTAGACAGCTGCACACAGGCTGGAACCTGCATTTTTCCCCCCTGGCCGGATAACTAATTACCACCTGAAGCTTTACATCAGGAACGTGGGTTTCAGTTAGGAGTTTTTGAGATTGTCCCTAAAGGAAGCTGTTGCCATTCAAGAATGAAATATTGTTTCATTTTCAAGCACCACAGAACTTCTAGAGAAAGAAATTGCTAGTATCTTTTTTAATGTTGTGGCAAATAAAAGAAAACTTGAGACTTTGTGTGAGGAAGTTTTAAGACAATGGCCATTACTTGTTACAATGTAAACAGAGAAGCATTTCATGAACTGTCAGGACGCAGAACTGGGGCTCTGGGAGCCCCAAGGGTCCAGAAGCAATCCTTCATTTACCACTGCTCATCACCTCGCCCTTTGAGTGGTACAGTTTAGCTGGGAAATTGCCTTTGCCTGGTAATCTTTTTCCTATTACTACACTATCTTAAACTCCATAAACAGCCCCTCTTGCAGTAGGTACCTTTAAAGACATGAGTCTAGTGAAGGATCAAAGACTATCTTTTAGCAATTCCAGAGGTTGGCATTATTCATATGGTATATTATTAAATTTGATATTATAATTCATCAATGTTTTTATTAATACACCCGACAAGTCCTTCAATTTATGCTTATATAGTTCTAAACTGATACTGTGAGTTCTTACAAAGAACAACTCTTCTACCTGCCAGTAACAACTCACAGAATTTGCTTCAGATTTTGACACATAACCAGCCTGCAGTAAGTGTTGATTGACAGTCTAAACCCACTGCTCTGTTTGTAATAACAATAAAGAAACTGGGTAACACCTTGGAAGTCAAATCCAAAGAAAAGCAAAAGACTTAGCCTTGCGCTGTTCCTTCCCAATACAGAGCATTTCCTCTAAGTACATATTTCACCTGAATTATTCAGTTAATAATAGATGCCCCCAAACTATCCTTTCTAGTACCATATACAGGGAACCAACTTTAATTTGATTCCAATCAGCTATGCTAATTTGGCATAACTGGGAAAGTCAGGTGACCGGTGGCCTCCGTTGTGTGCAGATGATGTGTGTGCATGTGAGCTTACATCTACAATAATAAGCAACCTTTTCTGAGCTGCTTGCTATGGTTTGAATGTGGACTGTTCTCCATGGGCTCATATGTCTGAATATGTGACCCTCAGTGGGTGGTAGTGTCCAGGGAGGGTGTAGATGGACTGGGGGGACATGGCCTCTGATGGATACATGCTGGGTTGACAAGTAAGACCCAGTTCTGGCCTGAGTAGCTCTTGCTTCCTGCTATGTAATAAGCAGCTCATGCATCTGCCACCATAGAGCTCTTGCTTACCAGGATAGACTGTGTCTCTTCAAACCATGAGCCAAAGTAGGATTTTTTTTCCTGTTTTACCTTGCCTGTCTTATATTAGGTTGCAGCAATGTGTTAAGGGAAGTTTTTTCCTTGCTAGCCGCTTTGGTTTATCACCTGCCAGTCACCTGGGCTCTGCCACGTTGTAGTCCCCAAATAACACACAAGACGCTGTATTAATTATGAAGCCGTTGGCCTTGCTTGTTTCTTACTGGCTAGCTCTGACTTAAGTAATTACCCCATAATTGTTAATCTAAGTATGTCTCTTACCGGAGAAATTTCCGGGCCTCCTACCCCATGGCGTTACATCTCGAACTCTCTTGTGTTTCTCCTTCCCAGAGTCCTCCTGGACTCCTAGCCCCTCCTATCTTGGTTCCCTATTGGCCAGACAGTGCTTTATTGACAAATGCACAGGACTTCCCCAACAGCAATGAAAAATGGTTTATCAGACATACTATGCCTATGATCGACCTACTATAAGTTTACACACCACACACACACACACACGCACACACACACACACACTCCAATTCTTTTGTTCAAGCTTGCTCTTAAATTGACAAAAGAGAGACATTGAATATTGCATGTACTATATGCATATACATTTATATATATTCATTATAGAATGGTTATATATTCATTATGTATGGTAGTTAAGGGGTAAAATGTATAAAACTCTTCATATTCTTAAATTTTGAATTATGTCTCTTGTCATTTCACTGTGGCTAATTTGTTGTTTTCTTTGTGTTAGTGGCAATCATGAACTTCAGATAGCAGAGAATAATTGTGAGAACGATAGTACATTCTTGAGAACTTCTACCTCATAAAAGAAGGAGAAATGAGTTCAGATTCACAATTACTAACATTCAGTCACTAGAGCCATGTATGATTTCTATTTCAGAATATTTTGAATGTTATTATAGATAAGGGTAAGGAATTTTACTCTGTAATAAAAAAACAGTACAAACATGAAAATATATAACTATTACCATAAATGAGATAAAGGCTGTAAATATTTATCTTAGTTTCATTTTCCCACCAAATTAGTTTAGACCAAGTAATACACTGGCATTTAAGGACTATAAAAATAGTTTCCACAACTTTTAGGTTTTTAAATCACTGATAGGGAATTGTGGACCAGGATGGATTTAGTCATAAGAATCTGCAGATGTTTGAAGATCTAACTTTTCACTTCAATTTGCCCTGAAGCTGCTTCTGTTCCTAGCAAAATGCCTCCTAACTTAGTGTGTAACTAACAGCAAGCATATTCTTGAAACAAGTAGCTGAGGCTTAGCTAGCAACTGGAGCTGAACTTCAGCCAATCACAGGTTACCAACTGATCAGGCCATGTCCATATAAGGTAAATGTCTCATCACACCATTCCAAAATAAGGCAGAGCCCATGCAGCCAATCAGACTGATTTGGTTCTGTACTGCCTTTTTCCATCTGTGATACTGCCTGCTTACAGTGCTGCATGGGGGCCCTCCAGACCTCTCCTGCTTCTTATGGTTGCCCAATTCATAAATCTTCCTTTGCTCAAGCAAATTGGGCTACATTAAATTTGCCAAAAGTTCTTCCTTTTGTGTTCCAAATGCAATCTTAAATGATGTGGTGAGGATAGAGTCATTGCTTTCACAAAGTAAAATTACCCAAAAGAAACAAAATCTATAAAAATCCCCATGTTCTTTTGCCAGGATTGAATGGAATGGATTCTTGTTAATGTTCTCTGTCCTGTTTATCTGGCTTTGCCTTAGGATGTCTGGCTGTGTATTGTTACGTTTACTGATTCTCACTAACCTGTGTCCTGTTTTGATGGTCTTCTTCCACATCAGCTGCTCACTACCTTTTAAAAATTAAAACATGAATACAGGACATTGTTAAATCAAAAATATCTCTTAAAGATAAATAGATTCATTTTATTTCAAGAAGCCAGGGAAATAACAATGCTGGGTTTTTTTTTGTTTGTTTTCTGTTCATAGCTTCAATGGATCTTTCTATAATAAGGAGAAGATATATATCTTCAGATATATGTATGTAAATTGATTTTACCTTTTTAGATTTCTTGATTAGCAAATTGTGTCCTGAAAGATAATCATAATAAAGGATAGTTCTTTACATGATGATGATGTAGAAATTGGTGGCATAGATGATTATAAACATCCATATCTTACCAGATAAATCTAAGACACTACTAAGAATCAACTGAAATTTTATCACTCATTGTCTTACTTAACCTACTTATAAGTTAGCTGACCGTGTGCTGGGTCTTAGTCTATGCTTAGGAACTAGGCTAAGGAACTGATGCAGAGTGTTGCTTACTGGCTTGCTCTACTTCCTACCTCTAGGTTTCTGTCCTGAGTTCCTGTCCTGGCTTCCCATGGAGATGGACTTTCAGCTATAAGGTGAATTAAATCCATTTCTGTCCAAATTGCTTTTGTTCATGGTGTTTGACCACAGCAATAGAAAGCCTAAGTGAGACAAACATTAAGAGGCTCAATGTGAGTACTTACACTGTACATACCTGAAATAATGTTGGGAAAGGAAAATAAACTGTTGCAGCAAATTTAATATACTGATCATAGAGTAAGAATAAATATTGATAAGTTAGAACTCTGATTTGTGAAGTGGAGATTTTAGTAGGAGGAGAATATAGAGGGATGGGAAGGCACAGCAGGCGAGAATAGTGTCTGAGCTGCATGATGAGAATGGGGGAGAGGTGAGTGCTGGCCAATGAAGGCTCCTTGCTCACATAGGAATGCTGGATTTGGGTTCAAAAATAAAAGGCCACTATTACAGGGCAACTTTGGGGGAAATAAAAATCTGCCTGTGAGGAAAATATTTTAATAGCAACAAAGAAAAGAGGATATCTGTTGGAATTTGGGTTTGCTCCTGAGGGGGGCCAAAAAAGAACTGTGTTTTTAAAAGCATTTAATAAAACAATATTTGTATGATAAAATGAGATGTCATTGTGGAAGAGAAGAAGAAGAAGAAGAAGAAGAAGAAGAAGAAGAAGAAGAAGAAGAAGAAGAAGAGGAGGAGGAGGAAGAGGAGGAGGAAGAGGAGGGGGAGGAGGAGGAGGAGGAGGAGGAGGAGGAGGAGGAGGAGGAGAGTTAAGCATGACAACTCGAGTCTGCAATCCCAGAACTTGAGGTGTGGGTAAAAGTAGAAGGATCAGAAATTTATGTCATTCTTAGTTACGGACTTTGAGGCCAGTTCAGCCTGTGAGGAAGTGACTGTATCTCAAACAACAGCAAAAAAAGAGGGGTGAGATTATAAAAAGGGAGAACTGTAGCAACTGTTGAGTTAAACACATTGAATTGTAGGACAAGGCAGAGATTGCTTAGCCAGGAAAGTACCTGTCGTTTTAGCACAGGGCCCTGAGTTCACATCCCATCACCCTTGTAGAAAGCCAGGCACAGCACACATGCCTGTGATCCCAGTTCCAGGAGGCAGAGACAGGAAGATCCCCAGGGCTTGCTCACCAGTGAGTCTGGTCCAAGCAATGAGCTGAAGGTTCAATGAGAGGCCCTTTCTCAAAAAATAAGGTGAGGAGCCATTGAAGAAGTGCTTCATGTTGACCTCTGACCTCCACATGCACATGGGTACATACACAAACATATTCACACACATACACCACACACATTTCAGGTCTGAAGGTCATCCAGAGGCCTTGTTCAGACATATATCGAAGTTCTTCACATCACAGTTTCTGATTCAGTAAGTTAGAGTGGGTTCAATGTTTGCATTTCTGGGCACATTGAGAGAGCTATTCGTTATGTCCCCTAAGACAACTGATGATGAACAGTGGTAGTGGGAATGAAACTGATGACAATGACCCAAGAATGGGAATTATCCGTACCCATTACTGAAACTGTTGTAGAACCTGATTTGCACCGCCCATCATTTTGATACACTCTGTCATTCATTTCCTCAATTATTCTATGGACATTCAAATAAATAAGTATAACATCTCTGGCACTTGGAATGAGTGGGACTAAAATTTAGGAAACAAAATCACTCTGAGAAGAAAGTGGGTGTGGAAGGAAGACTGGAGCATCAAGGGAAAAAAAGAGATGTAAGAGAAGACTATAGTCCCAGATTCAATGACAGAAACAAACAAACAACAAACAAACAAATATACACAATTCCCAGGTACTTGACAATCCACTCTGGATATCACTTCTCATTCTCAGTGAAGAAACAAAAGGGTAGAAAGTTAAAAGGGAAAGTTAATAAGACTACTTTGTATTTTAATTATCGTCAAGTACTCAGGTGCAGAAATGAAGTGTTTCATGTACATATAAATTACTTCTGTGCTCTAGCATATTTGTAGAAATCAAAATGAGATGTTGTTCCATTTAAAATTTAAATAATTCTCCTGAGAAAATGCCAACCAGATTGCTTCAACCAGGAGCCAATACATAAACATCTATTATTATTTATGTGTTAATGTCTTTGCTATCTGGAGTAATTTTTTAATGAAACCTAAACGCCTCCATAATGAGACTTGATGTCCCCAAAATGACATTAAAAAAGCAAAAACAACTAAGCAATATTGTACAAGAATGAGAGAAAGTAGTTCCCCCCTTTCAAACAAAATCCTTGCCAAATGTAATACTTCATTGTACCAAACGGACCCAGACATGCTTTAGCTTGCATTTTTTTACCAAATGGCAGGTTTGTAGCCTTGAAGAGAACTTTTTTAAAATAGTGAGTCAGTGAAGGAAGTTTCTAGTACACTGCAGTGATTAAGAGGGAAAGTTGGATTTGTTCCACAGGCTCACGCTGATTGAGTCAGCCTGGGTTTGGCAAGGCAGCTGCTGGCAGAAACGCACAATCATTTTACATTCTATTGCTGTTGGAAGTTACCTCTTACCAGTCTATTTTGAAGTTAAAATGGGGTGTGGGTGGGGGTAGGAAGACATGAAGTAATATTTAATACTCAACAATATACACTGCATATGCTCCAATCGAAGAAGGACGTGGCCAAAACCATATTATATGTACTTTTCAAAATGTCCCTTGAGTTTCTTGGATGTGAAATTGTTTTTTGAAAACAACAGTATGATGAGTTAAGAATGAATGAATCAGAAACATACGGATTAAATTTTCCTGAAATTTGCATGAATTTTGAAGTCATGCAGAAAAGGACACTTGGCAAGATACACTTGGGATTTAACCGAAGTAAAAACACTAGAGATATCATCTGAAGGGCTCTGGTAGGTATAACCATATCAAATAATTTCACTTTTATAAGCTGTACTCAAACATAAAAAAGAGGGACTAGAAGTTAGCTAATTAAAATTTAAGGAAGACCTAGACTCCTGCTTGTGTAGAAACTACCAAGCTTCACAGATAAGTACCAGATCCTAGGACTTAACCTGAAGGTATTTGAAGACTGCATTGCCCATTGATGCTCAGTGCCCAAACATGAGCCAGAGGACAAAGATGATTTATTTCTTGGCCATTTTATACCATAAACCTAAAAGAAATTGAAATAAACAAAAATAGTAACTGAAATGTCATTTTAAAGAAAAACCCACAGTGCTGCTCATCTGTATACATTATTGGATTTTGATTTCTTCTGTCTCAGTTCACAGCATGTCACTAAGATGATACCTTTGGTCAAATATTGAACCACACAAAAGACTTGAGATACTTCTCATAGCAAACAAGAAGAAGCCAGATTTATTCTAACTGGTATGTTAGCAGTTGAAATTAAGCTTTAAGTTACTTTATAGGCATCAACAAGGTCATTAGTCAAATGATAAATGAGGGCCAAATAGATATATTTAAAAAGCAGAAATTTCTGTTCTGTCATGTTGCTAAGTGTTTTTCCACCTTCACAAAGAACTTAATGGAGCATTTTCCTCCACTGCCTTATTCTGGGGAATCAAAAATTAGCTTCCCTGAGGTTCTGTTGTTGTTATTGTTGTTTTGCTTTTCTTAGCAGCTGAGGGTACTAAGTAAGCACTCTACCACTGAGTATACTACATGCCCAGTCCCAAACTAGATTCTTCTTCTTATACCATCTCATTGGTAGCTTAGACAATCCCTCCCAGCTCCAAACAAACAAACAACAACAAAACCAACCACTTCCTAAGCATTTTCTGTTTGATGTTCACTTGAAAGGAGATGATGATCATACATTGAATACAGCCAGGGCTTCTACAGGAATGGGAAGATGTGGTGATTGCTGTTGTATTTAATCCATGAACCTAAAGTTTACATTTGGAATGTAGACACATGGAAGAAGACTAGAGATGACAGATCACATTTGTTCTTTTTTGATCCTCCATGAATACTCTGTTTTGGATGGGAAGATGGGTTCTAACTCTTCAAAAGAAAGGTTCCCAGGAGTGTCAAGTCCCTGATAAGCACTCCACCTCCCGGCCAATAGGCTGGGAATAAGAATGAAGTGGAACGTGATATGAATTGGGGAGCTATTTATGGAGCAGATGCGGCCAGGTGTGCACACTATCGCTTGAGCAAACTAAATTAATTGCACACCTAACACTTGAGAGAAAAACCAGCCTTCTGATTTCTAACGCTGTGGATGTTATATCATAGTCTATACAGAAAAGCAGGGCTTGGTAAGAACAGACAGCAGGGGAGGTTTTGCCGAGAATGCAGTAAGAGAGACCCATGACACAAATGCAGAGTTCTCTATAGGCCTGCTTTTAGAGAAGAAACCAAATCCATTCAGGGTGGACGGCCTTTGTGGTTGCAGAGAAGAAATCCTGAGGCCTTTGTGAATACTCAGCTTTGTGCATTTCGCTGCATTATACCCTTTGCCTGCAAAGCAAAAGCCAAAACCACAAGTGAACACATATGTACCCTTCAGACACAATGATTTATTTCTCTCAATTAATGAGTGTGTTACTGGCTCTTGCATCTGCTGTTCTTGTTGCTTGGCTCCTGTTTTTATTTTATTTTGTTTTTTCCTTGCTTCTATACAGCAGATAATTCTGTGAGACTGAATTACCTCCCTGTTTCGGTCCAGTGTGAATGCTGCCCACTGGTTCATTCATGTGCTGCTGTATGTTTGGTACCCATTTGGTAGAGCTACTTTGGGGAATGTCTTAGGTTGGTGTCTATAGCTGTAATAAAGACTGTGGCCAAAAGCAACTTTGGAGGAAAACGTTTGTTTGGATTAGGTGTCCCGTTCTAGGTCATAATGAATGGAAGCCAGGACAGGAACTCAAGGCAGGAACCTGGAGGCCGGAACTGAAACTGAAGTTACTGAGAAAGTCTTCCTGGCTTGCTGTTCACGGCTTATTCAATTTGCTTTCTTACAGACCATCTGCCCAGGCTTCGTAATGCCCATAGTGAGCTAGGCCCTTCTTTTACGATCTTTAATCATGAAAATGTTTCACAGACCAGTATGACAGAGATATTTTCTCAATCAAAGTTCCCACTTCCCTGATGACTCGAGCTTGTGTCAAGTTGACAAAAAAAAATCAGTGCCACAGTGATGTCCTGCCCAAGTGCATAAAGCCAATCAGCTATGTGCAAGCCCTCTGAAACCACAAGCCAAAGAAACCCTTCTGACTTGTAAGAAACCACAAGCCAAAGAAACCCTTCTGACTTGTAAGTTGTTCTCTCAGCTATTTTGGTAACACTCCCCTAAAGGAGAGTCACAGTAAAACCCATTGTGACATTTTCAATGAGTCAGAATTCTATTTTTATTACCTTTTTAAAGCTTTTAACTCTTTTTACCGGCTTACTTCTTTGCTTCCATAGTTGACCTTCACAATTATTTTTCTACCTAGAGTTCAGTTTTAAAAATAAACACAATCCTATTATCTTTGTGAGATTTATGACATGTACCACATTGGAGAGAGAAAAGGTGTGGCCCCTGAATGAGTGAATAGCCAGATTCCCTTGTAATCAAAGTTGCCACTGCTTACCAATGAGCTCTTCAATGGCAAAAACATATCAGGCTTGGGCCTCAGTCAGAGCATTATCCATTCAAGAGAGTTTTCCAAATTCCTCTCCCACTCCACCTCATGCACCTTAGTCTTCCTAGCAGTGTTCATGAGGCAGCCTGGGCAAGCCCATGTCAGCGGTGGACACTTTTGTGATTGTCTGCTTACATGTATGTACACACACTAGACCATCAGTCCTAAGAAAGTAGTGCTGCATCTGACCTAATCTATTCTTTTTATAACCCCAAGCTAGTATGTAGGATATAGTGTAAACAAATAAATGTTTTTAAAAGCCCTAAGAAACATTCACAATAAATAATGTAGTTCTTTAGAATTCAATATGTACAGATGGACTAGCAGCATTGCCAAGTATGAAGCCATGAAGAGTAGCAAGATAGTGCTGAAGTTTAACAATAGACTTAGCTGTCATCAGCAAATATCCAGAGGAAAGAGATTTAAAAAAAGCTAAATGTAGCCTTCTTTTCAAAACAAGATCCAACAATAGATTTATACAGTCCATGCTGAATCTTTGATTTCCTTCCCTGGACAACATTGAATGTACTGTTAACAATTTTAGATTTGATTGAGAAACCAACTAACGTTAGCTTTAAACATACCGAATGGGGTAGCCATCCTTAAGTTGAGATGTCATGTTTGTGAGACTCACACTTTATTGTTACTACTAACATTTAGACATTTCCAATTTTTTATTGTTTTACAAAGAAAGAAGAGAGAGGGCAAGGAATATTTGAATGACTGTATACATAATACAGTCTAGGCCAGGATGGCGACAGTGCCAAAAGAGTTGAGGTTTGGCAGGAAGCCTTCCACATGCAATTGGTCAAGTTCCCAAGGGTCCTGCCCCAAAGCATGCTTTGTATGTATTGGCTTCTCTTGCTCTCCATTGCCACCACCAGCCTCTCTGTACTACAGTAGATGTAAAACAATCCTTTGCTTTCATTCTGCCTGCATCTAATACCGCTTTTTCTAGATACAGAGCACCCAGCAGGTTAACAAATATGTCAAATCACTGGTTTAAAATTCTCATTGCATTCTGAGTGCTCTTAGGAGAAAGGCTCCATTTTTGCATTTATTGTAGGAATATCTGACTGATCTAGGCTTCTCGCTGATGGTCCCGTGATCCACCATTGGATACTCTTCTCTCCTTCACTTTCACTTTGCCACAAGTCCGCTATGCCTTTTTTGTACTTTGTGCTTTTTTTCTGCTTGGGATACACGTTTCATTTTCTTCCTGTGCTTTAGACCTTGTTCTATCTGTCATCTAAATTACCCATGCAACAACTTTAACACATCACTTTATTTTATGACTCTGCGCAGACATTATTGCTCTTGAGGAATTTCCTTCTTTCTTGCTTATTGTAATCTTTCTCACAAGAATGAAGCTCTCTGAACACAGGGCTTCCCTCATGGGGGAGTTAGAGCTCACAGTTGATGGGTGGTGCTTAGGTCTTCCTTATACACACCCAAGGCTGATTGCATCCTTAGCGAGAAAAATTATGTCAGAAAGATGGTAAATCCTAAAATAAATAAATGCTTTTGTCCATGAGATTGCCCCCCTTCCCTAATAATTGGGCTAATTGGGAAGATTAAATGTATGTGAAACACTGTAAAAGGCTCTGTGCATATTCAAAAGGCTTACACAAGTGGAAGAATCCAGACCTATAACGGGAAAACATTTAACACAGAGTCTGAAAAGTTAAGTGACAAAGTTGGTTCATTGGTTCATATATTTATCACTCATTATTCACTAATCCCTTTCCTGGGGTTACCATATGTAGTCTCCAAACTTAGAAGGCACTGTTGACAGTAGTTATAAAAAGAGCATATCTTTGGAGAAAGACCAAAAGTAAACCCACCCAAATAGTTAAGGTCTAGAAAAGTTGTGCCCAGAAAGGCCACACTTTGCAGCCTTCCAATATTAAAAGGTAACAAAACCAGCAAGAAACTAAAACCAGGAACACAGGAACATTTCTAAGGAGAAATATTACATGAGATCTTGTTGAGGAGGAAGCCTGTCCTTAACCTTCAAAACACTATTGGTTTTCAAACCTTTTAGGCAGGTAGAAGGCTCTTTTTTATAATCCCAGTACTTGGAAGACTGAAGACTGGTGGGTCAAGAGTTTAAGGCCAGCCTTGTCTACATAGCAAGGTTGGGATAAGTCTGGGTTATATGAGACCCTGGCTCAATGAAATAAAGCTAAAACTAAACCAGAACAAACAAAATCTCCTAAAAGCAAGAATTCTACTTGTAAATATTAATCTAGCTACTGTGTCTTCAGAACAAATTAACTCAAAACTTGGTATCATAGGATAATGATTTGATATGCTGACTCATTTTAGGTTAGTTTTCACTTAGGACTGTTGTAGCAGTCACTTTAGGGCTGGAGTCACTGACTGTCACCTAGAGGCTTCACTGGTACCAGGTGTCCACTGCCAGGTTGGTTCCATCTAGTGTTTCAGTTTCTTTCCATATGAGCATCTTACACGACTTCTCATAGTATGGTGCTAATTTCTTTTGGGGTTTTAACAAGCTGGGAGCTCAGGACTGGGGGAGATGTAAGATCATCACCAACTTTGAGAGTTTTGCATGATTCCTACTGTACTCTGTTGGTGATGAAAGTCCTGCCTTCATTCGATGTGGGAGAATAGGGGTATGGATAAAAAAGGTTGTATGGACCACCGGGGTCAATTTTGAAAGCTAACTAACAAAAATATCGTTAAATGTCAACACTTGATTTACAATGTGATTAGAGGAGACTCGAAGATTTAGAAAAGGGAATTTCCAAAAAGAAATGAAAGTAGAAGTAGGACTATTAGGACAGAGGGACAAATTTAGGGAGCAGAACAGAGGCAAGGACCATGATAAGAACATACTGTGCATATATATGACAACTTTATACAATAATCCATTATGTACATTCGCTTGTACATTCACCAATAATTTTAAAATTATTTATTTACTCATTTAATTAAGTATTGCATGTATGTGTATATTTGCATGCAAATATGCAGGCATACCAAGACAAAGGGACCGTGTGGCAGTCAGAGGGCAAGTGTCAAATCAGTTCTCTCCTCCACTTTGTAGTATCTGGGAATCAAACTCATGTTATCCAGGCCTCTATGTAGGCAACTATCCACTGAGCCACTTGAGAGTCATAAAGACACTTACTAAAGGTATTTTTATGACTGTATTAAGAAAAGTAAATTGGGGACTGGGGAGAGGGCTCCAAAGTTAAGAGCACAGACTGCTCTTCTAGAGGACCTGGGTTCAATTCCCAGCACCTACATAAGATCTCACAACTGTCTATAACTCCAGCTCCATGGGATATGGCACCCTTAGACAGATGTACATGCTTGTAAAACACCAATTCACATAAAAATAAATCTTAAAAAGAAAGAAAGGAAAGCAAATTGATCTCAGGCATCAACAAATAACTAGCAATATAATTTTTATATAAAAATGCACAATGTGGCATATTCATTAGACAATTCAAAATTATTTTAGTCATGAAAAATTCCAAATATCTTCATAGACAAGACCATTCATATAAAAATTCATTTCATGAAAATTAATTAAATAACTGTTGTCCTTGCTAAAAGCACCCATAAAAAAAATACTATTTCCATTATGTACACTCAACCTGAACCAGTACTAATGGTATTAATGCCATGACCAAGAAATCACAGAAAGGCATGAACTCTGCATGGATTGCTGCCTTCAAAAACATGCCAAAAGGGTAAAGTTCTGGAACACCTGGACCCATTTGCTAATAGTTTTCCACTGTTCCTTCCAGTGTGAACCCACAGTGAGCACCAGGGCAGTGGGGGCACTGAGACTGGGTTTGAATATCACTAGTTCTAAACTGGTTCATTTTTCATTTAAGACACATACATGAGCATGCCCCATAGACACATGCATAGCCCCTGCGAAGTCATGAGTTAGCAGCAATCTGTGCAGCTCAATGTTGGTCTTCAGGGTCTCCGAAAATCAAGTCCAGATGACTGCAAATCAAGCTGATTGTAAGAAGGAGAAAACAGGTTGTTCTGCTTTGTTTTGTTTTTTAAACCAAATTTAGATCTGCTCAAAGCTCCATGGAATCTAAATTTAGAATAAACTATGTTTTCCAAATCTTTCTGGGTTTTGCTTTGCTGGCACTGGGAAGTACATTGCTCCAGAGGTGCTCAAAATGGAGGGTAAGGAAGGAGGAGAGTGGACCTCTGTAACAAAAACTCCAGAAACTTTCAGAAAGAAAGAGAGAGAGAAGGAAGAAAGGAAGGAAAGAAGGAGAGAGAGAAAGAAATAGAGAGAAGAAGAAGGAGGAGGAGGAGGAGGAGGAGGAGGAGGAGGAGGAGAAGAAGAAGAAGAAGAAGAAGAAGAAGAAGAAGAAGAAGAAGAAGAAGAAGAAGAAGAAGAAGAAGAAGAAGAAGAAGAAGAAGAAGAAGAAGAAGAAGAAGAAGAAGAAGAAGAAGAAGAAGAAGAAGAAGAAGAAGAAGAAGAAGGTGAACAGGTTAAGAAAATAGCATAAAAATAGCTTGACTGTTAACTCCATATGTGTCTATAGAAAAATTAAGGTATGAGCTCCAAATGGTTAGGTGTGTAGAGGGGAGATTGGTAAAGTTCTCTTGAGTTTTAATAAAGCCAATATGTTTGAAAACCATCTGAAAGGAAACTAGCCCAAATTACCACTAGACTTACAGCAGGGGAGACCTGCTACATGGGTCTGCAGGTGCAGACCTTTGCAGCTAAGCCTGGTGACCTGAATTTGATCCCTGGCACCCATGTGGTATAAGGAGAGAACCAAATCTGAAAGTTGACCTCTGACCTCACAGGCACCTCGTGTTGTGCACATACTTATATACATAAATTGCCACCCATACACACAAAACAAATATATACATATAATACAGAAATAATTGTGGAACTAGATATAGCAAGACAGGTACAGAACTAAACATATTCAAAATGCATTTAAAAAGAACCATTCACTATCATTTCATGCACTATGATGCAGACAGGTGTCCCAAGAGTAACTCTATTCCAGTGGTTATCAACCTTCCTAATGCCGCAATTCCTCATGTTGTGGTGATGCCCAACCACAAAATTATTTTGTTGCTACTTCATAACAGTAATTTTGCTACTGTTATGAATCATAATGTAAGTATTTGATGTGTGTGGTATCTGATATGCAACCCCAGGGAGTTGAGACTCACAGGTTAAGAAACACATGGTCTATATGCTCAACATCTGCATTTCCAGCCAGGCGTCTTCTTGTGAAATTCAATCACAATGGCTCCTAAGCCTCAACTAAGCACATAGTTGACTACATACAAATTTACATGGGAAAATTTGTGCCAGTATAGGATATTTGTATTTGTTTGCATGTATCAATGACACTGCTAGATAATTTGAAGTCTCCCATAAAAATCACACTTGCAATAAAGCCTGATACATTCCTTAAGTTAGGCTGGTTTGAACAAATTGCTATGATCTATTACAGGAAGTAAACTTAATTGCACGGAACGGAGCCCATGCAAGTTGAAACTACTCAGGTGAGTTTTCCTCCTAGAATGCTCTGCCATGCTTTCTCCTAAGTCACTAAATGTTTAGTGCTGCTAAGTCTTAACCGTTCCAATCAGAGGTCCAGATTTGTGAGAGGCATCTGTTACCTATCCTTCTCATGCAAGGTCACATGTTTCCCTTCTCCATGCTCCCACACTATTATATTAGAGGAACTTGGGGGAAAGTCTTAACAGAACACACTCCTGCATCCTCAAGGTCGATGTAAATATCCACTCACATCCTTGTCACATTCCCAGGACTCCATCTACTTTGACATAAGAAGGATTAATAAAATTCTTGAGAGAAAGATTCCTACAGTTAGACCAAGGGTTTTTGTTTTGTTTGTTTGGTTTTGGATTTATTTATTTATTTATTTATTTATTTATTTATTTATTTATTTATTATGTATACAGTGTTCTGCCTGCATGCATGCCTGCAAGTCAGAAGAGGACACCAGATCTCATTATGGATGGTTGTGAGCCACCATGTGGTTGCTGGGAATTGAACTCAGGACCTCTGGAAGAGCAGCCAGTGCTCTTAACCTCTCAGGCATCTTTCCTGCTCCTGTTTGTTTCTAGACTACATTAGTCACTTAGCTCCAATGCTGAGAAAGTGTTCAAGATCACCGACTGAAAGGAAACAATCTTCCATCAGGCCATCCCCTTGACCTTACCAACAGAGCACAGATGACAGAGACCCAATCCAAGACAAGAAGCTGCTACATGATGCCAGGGAGGAGACGGATGGCTCAGAAATCACACTTGATGCCCGGAGTCAGTACTTACAGAGAGATAAGACCAGAAAATATGTCATTGTTCATTGGGAATGTCAGAGGAAAAAGGAAATCTACACAGAGGCTAAACCCTTAACTCTTCAGGAACAGTCTTTTAAACTGGGGAATATTAATTGTTATATTGATTTTAGTTGATTTTTTTAAATGCAGATTACAACTAGTTAGAAGACTCAGTAGTTAAATTACCAGAAGAACTGAGTTCAGTCCTCAGGACCTACATGGTAGAGCGACAGAAACAATTCTTGGAGGTCGTCCTCTGACTACCAATTCATGCCATGGATTGTGCACACAGCCACACAAATACATGCACATATGATAAATAAAACAAAATTTTCGGGTGGTGGTGGCGCACGCTTTTAATCCCAGCACTTGGGAGGCAGAGGCAGGCGGATCTCTGTGAGTTCGAGGCCGGGCTGGCTGACAGCCTCCAAAACAATACAGAGAAACCCTGTCTCGTAAAAACCAAAAAAATAAAAAATAAAATAAAATGGTAAAGTGAAAAGAATACTGATGGCATTTTATAATTTTTCCCTGTGATCATGTGTCTATATCAGTATTTGGTATTTAGAACTGCCACAGAATACTGCCTACTATAGAAGTTTACTTTCACTTAACGCATCCCTTATGTCTGGAACTTTACCACATACATGTTTACGTGCCGCTGTTGCTGTTTTGTTTTAAACAATTAGTGCTATTTTTTTCATGTTTACAAATAAATGTTCAAATGAGGTAAGTTACTAAAAGAGAAAAAAGGCAATTTTGGTTGAGTATTGAACAATGCTCTTCCCACAAGGTTCTGTGGATTGAGGAGCAGCTGTACAGACAATGTGTGGTTCCTGGCTTTGGACCCAGCTCCCAGCTCCAGCACTTGTCACTCAGTATATCATCATGCTTGCATCGCTGGACTTAGAATTTGGGTCAAAAGGAGAAGCCAGGCTGGCCCGGTGTATGGCCACATCTTCCTATCCTTGCTTGTTTCTTACACTCTTGTAAGTGGAACACATTAATTTGGAGGAAGTACAAAGAATCAGAAATCATGCTTGCTAATTTTTATCCTGGGACTGGAAGATATTTATTGACTCTTTGAAGGTTGTAGAAGCAATTGCAGGCTAGTGACTATTCAGATAATTACCAAGCCAGTTTTTCTCCCTAATAAAAGCAACTTTAATTTCTAGGTTAATTTCAAATTAATAAAAAAAAACAAACTCAGACGACTGGCTCAAAAAGTTCTACCTCTTAATCTATGATACAAACAGTGACATGCTTCTAATGATCTCATTTACAAATAAGCCAAAATTCTCCTGTCTCCACGACTATATTTCAGGACTATGGTGAAAAAACAAATACCTTAAAATATAATTAATTTTAACATTGAAATGTTAATTTCCTGAAGCTTCTTACAATGATAGAGAACTCTGGGGATGTGGGGAGACCCCCCTCCAGGCAGTCCATGTTGATTTAAAAGATTCTAACATTTTGGACATTGATTATACTGTAGTCATTTTCCCACTGATTATCTTCCTGAGTTTGTAAGTTTACTCTCGGCCTTTTTTTGTCTCTTTTGTTTCTTTCAAAAATTTCATACACACATGTCTTCAGCAAATATATCCTGCATTCAATCCCTTCCAATTCTTCCTCTCTCTCCACCACCACTATTTTTCTCACACTTCCTGTGTTACTTTTTTTTTTTTAACCCACTGAGGGCCCTGCCTGTTTGTTCTTGGGTAGCCTCTCAGGGGCCACAGGACTGAAGAAAACCTACTCTTCCTCCCACAAGAGTCATCAGTTGTGAATCGTTCCTCAGCTATTGAAGGGATTGCATAAGCCCCTCCCCCATCCATGCTGGGATTTGACTGGCTTGATGCCATGCAGGTTTTATATGTTCAAGCATAGCTGCTGTAAGTTCATGTATGCAGAGGTACTGCCATGTGCCACAAATACAAATTTACTACCAAAGTCCACACATCTGACTCTTAGACTCTTTCTGCCCATCTCCCTCTACAACAGTGATCCCCGAATCTTCCACTTAGGGGATATGATATAGGTATCCCATTTATAGCTAAGCACCCCAGGCTCTTACTTTCTGCATGCTGACCATGTGTCTCTATTTATCATTCACTGTTGAGATGCAATAATCTATGGTTATGAAGATGGAAATTTAGGGGGAGGTTCATTATCATTTAAATTTAGCGAAATAACGGTATTAGGTTGTCCCCTAGCCAGCCAAGTTTTTTCTCACTTTACAGTACCAGGCATGAGTTCCTTCTTGTAGAGCAGGTCTAAAATCCAAGCATAAAGTGGCTAGTTTCTCCTACAGCATTTGCACCACTATTGCACAAGTAGGTATATCTTCCCAGGCCAGTCTTTGTTGTAGCTTGCAGGTTTCACAGGCCGGTAAGATTGCCAATACTTTTTCTGCCCATAGCAAACATGGTACCTTCCAATGATAACAAAGCTAGCCAGTAGGAATGAAGCTTCCAGATTAGACCCAGCTTGATTTCCTCAATGTTTCCATGTTCTAGGACCCAATAATGTAGTGTCTTCAGCAATCAAGTCTTATCATCAAATTTGGGGGGCGGGGGTAACTGAGAAAACTGGCAGTAAACTATAATATTTAGGTAGTGTGTAAAGACCCCATTAACCAACAATTCAAAAAGAGGTAATCCATGTCTGGTGCTGGGATTTTTATTTGGTAGTCTATGGTATCTGAATGAAGCAGAGACCACCTATTTAATACAGGGTAACTCCATTTAAACACCATGTATAGGCGTATGCATATGTACATGTATATTATATACCTGTGTATATATTAGTATATATTTTAAGTAGCTTCTACAGTAGCAGATATCCTTATGGCATTTTCAAAGGTCTTTAGTGCTAGTTACCCTTCCTCATAATCTCTTCTTTACCTTGCCCTCCGACCCCATCCAGTTTAACACTTCCTGCTCAATTATTCCCCCTTTCCTCTTCATACTCCTGAATTCTATTCCCCTTCTTAGGAACCCTGCCCTAATATCCCCCGTCTCCAGGCTTCTGCTGGTACTACATTTAAAGGTGCATATCCAAAGACTCAAATCTGGCCTCCACATATGAGAAAGAGTTTTCAGGGTTTGTCTTTCTGGGTCTAAATTACCTTGTTCACAAAGGCTATTTCCAGTACCACCCACTAACTTACTTCCTTAATCTATTGGAATTCTTCAAAAATTAACTGAGAGTTATAGTGTTAGATTTCAGGCATCTGTACTGGCCTGTCCTTGGGGTTCTGACAGGATACGCCCTCGGCTGCAGCCACTAAGAGCACCACCTGTGCACATTCACTGTGTTCCATTTAAATGGGCCCTGCCTATCTCCCATCCTTCACCCTCTTTCTTCCTTTCTCTCTCTCTCTCTGTCTGCTCCCCTCTCCTCTTCCTCTCTCTCTCTCCCACTCTATCCTCTCTCCCCCTTCTTCCTTTCTCCTCTCTCATGCTGCTCCTGTCTCTGGAGGCTGGTCTCCCCGCTTCCCTTTCCCCTTTTTATGATCCCTTTCCCTAATTAAAAAAATCCTCTGCTTGAACCCTGTTGCATGTGTCTGTCTCTTGTGCACCGCTTTTCTTAAATCAAGCATATAGAAGCTTCAAGGATAGCACTGGACAGGAAAATGAGAATGTTTGTCTTTGTGATGAACTAATCTAATTAATCAAATGACTTAAGACAACTCAGTTAGCCCCTCTGCACCCACCATTTGCCATGCTACCACATAACATATATTTACTACACAGATATACATATTTGTAGTTTACCCTTTTGTTTTTGAGTTTTAGCCTGTAATGGGCAAGCCTTCTCTCCAGTCCTGCATTTATATCTATACACATAAGTCTTGGATTTGTCTGGCATAACTTCGATTTGTACACATATATATGCATATGTATTCAGCATCCTCCTGCCTCAATATCTCAATTGTTGAGATTACACACATGTACTACCATGCCCAGCTGTAATAACATATTAATAATAAATAATAACCACATGGCACTGCTAAAATATGGATATGAGCCCTCTGAGCATATAGGGTAGTTAAGACCACCTGACAACAGGGTCAAATTTCAGATTTGAATTCTGGCTGCATAACATTTACTAACCACACATTTTGGAGCTTTGTTGGACCTCCTGTAAGCCAGTACTTTCATCTGTAGAATGTGAACAATGACAGTATCCACTTCTGAGAATTCCTATGAGAATTTAATAATATGATCCTATCTTTACATATAATAAATACTCAGTGGGAACCACTCATAGTTCATATTCCTTATGGTGGAATGGAATTTATGACATGAATATCTTACTTCACTAGTCTGGGAACCATTGGATCTATGTCTGTGATTCATCTATTTAAGAATCTCCTAATCTAGCTCACTGCCTTGACTAGCAGCGAGGATTTGTTTTCATGTGTTATGGTTAAATTTACCATATTTTGCAATTTTTTTACACATAGGAAGGCATTCAGCCAGGGCTTAGGCACAAGCCTGTAATCTTAGTTACTTAGAAAACTCAGGCAGACGATTACAAGTTCAATATCTGTCTAGGTAGTTTCACTGAAAAAAAAAAGGGCCCGGTGTGGGGGCCCATGCCCTTAATCCCAGCACTCTGGAAGCAAAGGTGAGAGGATTTC